AAGGAAGGAAGAAGAGAAGGAAAGAAGGAAGGAGAGAAGGAAGAAAGGAAAAAAGAAGGAAGGAAGGAAGGAAGGAAGGAAAGAAGGAAGGAGAGAAGGAAGAAAGGAAAAAAGAAGGAAGGAAGGAAGGAAGGAAGGAAAGGAGGAAGGAGAGAAGGAAGAAAGGAAAAAAGAAGGAAGGAAGGAAGGAAGGAAAGAAGGAAGGAAGGAAGGAAGAGGAGGGAAGGAGGGAGGAAGGAAGGAAGAAGAGAAAGGAGGGAGGGAGGGAGGGAGGAGGGAAGTAGAGAAGGAAAGGAGGAAGGAAGGAACCTTTACCTTTACCTATATTTTATTTTATGTTCTCCATCTTGCTGTCCAAAGAGATTCTTTCAGCTTTACCTGAATTATGACCGGCTGTCCCGGTTTCTTGCGGTAGAAAAGTCCTTTTACATCAAATTCTGGAGCCACAGTATTCTTCACGACCGGTGATCGGATTTTCTCCCCTTCGCACTTTATGATCACATAGGAATCCACTCCTGAGGCACAAGGGACACAAAAGGAATTGTCACCCCGTTTTTCCTGTTCCCCTTAAGTAAGCCTCTCCTGTGTTCTTGATCCTTAAATTCCTTCCTTAAAATTCGATTATTTGATGCAGAATTATTGTATGATTAAAATCCTCAAAAATATCTTTGTATGCCCTTCGACCAAACTTCCTCTACTACTATGAGGAACGTTAACAGGTGAGGGAAAAATTCCACCAACAGAAAAGAATATTTGTAGCTCCGGGTTGAATTGTGGGGACCTTGGTGCTCTCTGAGTTATTAGTTGTTTTCTTGCAGACGTTTCATTACCTAACTAGGTAACATCCTCAGTGCTAGAAGGGAATGGGGTTTGCTCTCTGTTTATATACAAGAAGCTTGCTTGCAAAGAGCAAACCTCGCTCCCTTCTAGCATTGAGGATGTTACTGTCAGGGTTCTGATGAAACTCATGAGCCTCGAGCCAAGTTTCAAAAGAAATCCAGTTATTTATTAGGAGCAACATGTCAGCACATACCCGAGTGAAGTCAGCTCTGACCCCATGTAACTTACAGCCCAACTATGACCCTGTTTCCCTCCTCCTCCCAGGGTGTGTCATGAATCACATTCTACAACGGAGCACTTTTGCTGGCTGTAGGAAACACGCCTCTCGGTTGGCTCTGGTAACCTGAGATACAGCCTTGAGAAAGGTATGCGTGGAATGTGCTTCTTTTTTTTCCTAAAAGTTTTTTATTTTTAGACAAACAAAACATAAAACATAAAACCTTCTTCTTCAATTACACGGAATGTGCTTCTGATCATGGATGCCAAGTTGCTCCGTCAGTTCTCCCCCCCTCCTGCCTATGGCAACTCGAGAGCAGGCCAGGAATGTTTTATGAGTTGAGAGTTACCTAGTTGGGTAATGAAACGTCTGCAAGAAAACAGCCAACCTCAGAGAGCATCAAGGACCCCACAGTTCTCCTCCTCCTCCTCCTCCACCAGATGTTTCAACTACTTAGAACAGTGTTCCTCAACCTTGGTGACTTGAAGTTGGGTGGACTTCAACTCCCAGAATTCTCAACCTTCTCAACCGTAACAACTCGAAGATGGGAGGACTTCAACTCCCAGAATTCTCAACCTTCTTGAGTTGAAGTTGGGAGGACTTCAACTCCCAATTCTGGGAGTTGAAGTCCTCTCATCTTCAAGTCAAGAAGGTTGAGAATTCTGGGAGTTGAATCTTCAGGTTACCAAGGTTGAGAAACACGGACTTAGAAGAAGACACCTGCTTCCTGATTTCCCTTCTCTTTGATCGTGGTTGGATTGAAACCAATATTGGCACCTTCTTCAGCGCCTTGGTTCTTCAGCCCAGAAGCCGAGATGACATGGACTTGGGACACGACTTGGGGATAGCCACATATTCCACTCCAGCAGGTGTGGGGGGGCTCGTCCAAAGTCAGTTCTCTGGAGAAAGAAGATGAGAAATCCAAGAGACATCAGATATTTGGAAGACCAGGAGAAGAATGTCCTTTAGAAGCAAGGACCCAACCTGGGAGAACCTTCACGCACCATCAAAAGAAAAGCAGCTCTGAATTGTCGCTAAACAAGACAAGAAACTGTAAAATGCGAAGTGGGCTACACGGTGGGCTTCACACAAGATGGCATAACCAGATCATTGAAAGACCAAGTGACTGGATTTGCACAACCCACGCAAGTTTTTAACCCTGGTTAGGTTTTGGCAGCTTATCCAAACTCTAACCAAACCTACGTTTGCAGGTAGGTAACACAGGTGAATTTGGAGAAGCAGTTTAATTCTGTTCTGTGAACGTTGTGAAGGTGCTGGACCAATATTGATCATGTATTAATCATACATTGATGGCTCTGGCACGGCTCCGAGTAAGATTTACACATTTCAGCTGCTGCAAACTTGTTGGATGGCATGAAGCCGTATCCTGATGTCCCCCTCACTTCACCTAATTTCTATAGTCTGAGCTGCTTATGGCAAGGCTTCGTTGCTGAACAATTTAGCAAGGAAAAAAAATGGAAGTACAGTAGGTTAAGATATTCGTTCCCTAGGTACAAAATTTCTTGCATGAGATAGGAAGGAAGGAAGGAAATAGAAGGGGAAGGGGGGAAGGGAGAGGTAAGGAGGGACGGAAGGAAGGAAAAGGGGGAAGGAAAGAAATAGAAGGGGAAGAAGGAAGGAAAAGGGGGAAGGAAAGAAATAGAAGGGGAAGGAGGAAGGAAAAGGGGGAAGGAAAGAAATAGAAGGGGAAGGAGGAAGGAAAAGGGGGAAGGAAAGAAATAGAAGGGGAAGGAGGAAGGGAGGGAAAGAAGGAAAGGGGGAAGGAAAGAAAAAGAAAGAAAGAAAGAAAGAAAGAAAGAAAGAAAGAAAGAAAGAAAGAAAGAAAGAAAGAAGAGAATAGGAAG